TTTATATAGATACACCTGTGTGTGTGTGTGTATATATATATATATATATATATATATATACACATACATACATACATACATTATATCAAAATATTAATATATGATTATATTAATAATATGATATACATAATCTAAAATAATTCATATTCGATTAAATGTATATAATATTTGATATACATAATAAAGATATTAATATATCATGTATTAATATTTTTTTATATTGTTTCATATTCTGTTTGTATATATATATTATTTGTAATTCTAGTTTGTGTGTGCATATATATATACAGTGGGTACGGAAAGTATTCAGACCCCCTTAAATTTTTCACTCTTTGTTATATTGCAGCCATTTGCTAAAATCATTTAAGTTAATTTTTTTTCCTCATTAATGTACACACAGCACCCCATATTGACAGAAAAACACAGAATTGTTGACATTTAATATATATATATATATATATAATATTACTAATATATCATACATTAATATTTTTATGGATTATTTATTTTTAATATTATTCAATAATTTATTTGTATATATATATATATATATATATTAGATGCACAATAACTTATTTACAGAAGAAAAATTAAGGAGCAGAAGTGAAGCAAAGCAGGCCTTTAAATTCTTTGTACGACAACATTTAGCCCTTCCAAAGGGCAGGATGCACAATTTGTGGCGGTGCGTTCTTCTCTTATCGTTCTTTACATTCATTTGGGTGAATTAATAGCGAGTGATTAATTTCAGAACAAGTTTGAGTTGTTGCACTACACACAACGGAAGGGTCTTGCCTCTGACTTGCATTCAGACTCACTCTTTTCCAGTTAATACTCCCTCGCTTGTGTTACGCTTTGTTCCTCGTCCACTCCAAACATCTTGTTCTCCTTGGGGAACAATGCCCTAATTTGTAAGTGCAATAAACTCCTGAATGTGAGGACATGCAGCCTCACTGGCCTTTATCTTTTTATCAGCCTAGTTTGTCATGTTACTACATGTATTTATGTTAGCACTATCTATTTCCTGGATCTACGTTAAAGTGGATGATACCTCTCCAGCTTCTGCTCTGCCCAGTTTTCCTGCCTCTTCGACGCACAGCCCCAGGCTTCCTTTCCCATATTCCGTCATAAACATCTGTTCATCTATTAAATGTATCGCTTCATAAACACATTTGAGGCTTGTTTATGGTGGATTGAACTGTAGAGGTTTCGGTGTTTTTCAAAGGGACGGTTTCACGGCAGGTTTATAGTCCTGAAGTTGGTTGCCATCCAGAATTTTTTTCCCTCCTTGTTTGTGTCTGTCAGGACCTCCATGTAGTATCCCAGAGGGACAAACTCTATCATACTTATGTCTAGCACTTCAGGCACTTTAAAGGCAACTTTCTGTCAGCTTGTGGCTCAGCCACAATTTTCTAACTATGGTCGCAAGTTCCATTGAACTCTATTGGTAATGATGGACTTGCGACCATAGTTGCTTTTGGGAAACGCACCCCTGGATAGTCCATGAATGAGGAGACAACACAAGACACGCAAGAGCAAAAACACTGCTTTCCTTTTTAGTTTCTTCAGGTTGAACAAGCGTTTCTCATAGTTTTCCTCATGTCAACATCAGCTCACAGTGGCCATGGTCACTTCAGTTTAGGGCTGAAATTCATAGTAAAGGTTGTTTACTGTACTACAGCATTAAACTACTGTACAGTCACTACCAGCGACTGGAATTTAAACCTCAAATATTTAAATATTTTAGTTAATATTCAATATGAATAATTATTCATTATAAATATTTTTTTCAGGTTTGTTTTTTCTTATCATTTATCTTTATAAATCCTAAATATAAAGATATAATTATAAATGTAAATCATAATTTATACTTATAACTCTAAAAATACAGAAATAAATCTTAATATATAAATGAAAATCATGAATATATAGATGTAAATCTGGATATATGCAGTTATAGGTCTAAATATCTAAATATATAAATGTAAATCTGAAAATATAGATAACAATAGTCCCTAAACTAAAGTGCTACCATGTATATATATATATATATATATATATATATATATATATATATATATATATATCTCTATAAATATATATATATATATCATAT